TTCTTCTGGTGTTTGTCGCATGGTCGCGCAGATGGAGGGGCAGCGATTGGCGACGGGCAGGTTATCGGGTTTTCGCAAGGTCGTCCGTGACTAGCGGTAGCGTTGGCGGCTGCTGTGGCGCGGGCTCCAACCAGATGGAATGCAGGCTGGGCCCACCCCGTTTCATGCACGCGCCACAGCCGCACCGGCTTTCCATGTCCCGCTTTCCATGCCATGGTCTTTTCGTCCTGTGTGTAGGCTGATGGTTCCCCTGGCAACAGGCTGACCCACAACAAAACCGCCTCGTCTTGTTATTCCCCTACAGGCAAGGCAAAAAAGCGGAGGGTCTCACAACAACAAGCCTGACCAGTGGACGACGCACCGGGCAGCCGGGGTACGGAGTAGAGGGTGTGGCTCGCTCTGCTCGAGCATACAAAATCCGCCCGGTGTTTCTGAGCTGTTGTTGACTTGGGGACTTCTCTTCTGTACAAAAACATCGTGAGCCGTCACCACTTTGTTTGGAAATCCCTCGTCTTTCTTTTTCTTCCTTCCTCTCCTCTCCCCCCACACCACTATTGCCTCGCTCAGCCCCCTCTCTTGTCAACGTGCATGAATCCTTGAACGAGGCAGCTTATTTTGCAGGTTTTATCTATTCGAGCGACGTTGTGCTTCTCAACCGACGACAGTGACGACACTGCCTGCACCGAAACCGCCTTTCTTATAGAGTTTAGACGAGTCTCGTCCTCGATCTCTGTGTTTGCAAGTTGCCGTTCGGGTCTCTTGTGTGTTGACAAGCTGAGGGCATTTTCATTTTCTGCGTGCCGAAGCGTACCGTAGCATTGGTCTTGTCCGCCCGCCTGGCATTGACTCTTCGCTATCTCTGCTGTTGGGGCGCTTCGCCAAACTGCCGCCGCCTGTCTCTTCAAGGCCTTTTCTCCATACAAGACGGGTTTTTGTTTGGGCGCTGGAAAAGAACGCAGAACCTCGCTGAAGCGTGAGCCTGGAATCAATGGCTCCCAGTTCCAGGCGCGCGCAAAACATGGGGCATGTCATTGAGTATATCCCAGGTATGCCATGCGTCCAATCGCAGCCAGTGCTTTCTCCTCCCCCTCCTCCTCTTCTTCTGGCTCAGCTTGTTGCTCCAGATGGCGTTTTGTTGGCTATGCGCTGCATGTGTGCCCAATCAATTGCGTGGATCTGAGCGTTGCTGACGATGGCTTCTTCTCTTCTTTTTGCAGACCGCCTCTATCTCGGCGCCTATCTTCATCCTCCCACCGCGGATACACTGTTCCCCGGCTCGGAATCTCCCGTTGCTTCGAGAAAACGATCGCACAGGAATCTGGCCCCTGCTTCTTCAGTGGGCAGTGGTCGTCCGGCGCCGTGCTACTTTACAATTGATGATACACTTTTGTACAATGCCTTTCATCACGACTTTGGCCCTCTGCACATTGGCCACTTGTACCGGTTTGCTATTCGATTTCACGATATTCTTGGTGCCAAGGAGAACAAGGACCGACCTGTTGTCTTCTGGAGCGCTGCTGACCCGCGGAGTGAGTTTCTTCTCCGCCTCTCTCTCTTTTTTGCTCCCTCCCTCTCACCCTGGCTGGGTTTCCATGGCGCAACTGGGGCTGTCAACTAACAGTCCTACCAAAGGCCGTGCGAATGCCGCCTGTATGCTGGCTTGCTACATGATCTTGATCCAAAATTGGCCGCCTCATTTGGCCCTGGCTCCTATTGCCCAGGTCGATCCGCCTTTGATGCCCTTCCGCGATGCTGGGTACAGCCAAGCCGACTACGGCATCACTGTCCAAGACGTTGTGTATGGTGTGTGGAAGGCCAAGGAGGAAAAGTGCATTGATCTTGACAATTTTGATCTTGAAATGTACGAAAAGTTTGAGCGTGTAGAGCACGGCGACTTTAACTGGATCACTCCCCATTTCCTGGCTTTCGCCTCTCCTCAACATACACCCGTCGCCAAGGTTACAGAAGATTCTGAGCTCTGGCCATTGCTGCCGCGAGATTTGGCCGCCGTTGATGCCCATCCGACCCTGCCACAGCCTTTCAAGAACGTATTGAAGCACTTCTCCGAGAAGAATATTGGCTTGGTTGTCAGGTTGAACTCACACTTGTATTCTCCATCGTACTTTGAGGCTCTGGGCATTCAGCATCTTGACATGATTTTTGACGACGGAACGTGCCCTCCACTCACAACTGTCCGCAAGTTTATTCGGTTAGCGCACGAGACCATCACCGTGAAGAAGAAGGGTATTGCGGTGCACTGCAAGGCTGGGCTCGGCCGCACCGGCTGTCTCATCGGCGCATACTTGATCTACAGGCATGGCTTCACCGCCGACGAGATCATCTCCTTTATGCGCTTCATGCGACCCGGTATGGTTGTTGGTCCCCAGCAGCACTGGTTACATCTCAACCAGGGTACATTCCGGGAGTGGTGGGTTGAGGAGCGTGTTGAACGTCGTCTGAGAAGAGAACTTGCCGCTGCCAATCCTGTTCCAAGCACACCCATAAGAGCTATGCAGAAGACGAGCCTGCGCAATGGACAAATGTCTACCCCTCCGAATCGCAGCCCATCGAACCGCACACCTCTCAGCGAAGTCGACCAGGACCGCAAGAATGGTGTACAGGAGGACTACCTTCCGGCCCCTACTCCTGGACAACCTCGAAAGTCTACGCGGGCTGCCGATCGCCACCATCCTTACCAACGATCAGGTGCCACTCACAGATCAAGTATAGAAGAAGAGAAAGAAAGCCTGAACGGGACCGAAATAGTGGCCATGCACCGTTACACGCAGGGCTCAGATTCTGACGAAGAGTTGCATGTTCGCATGCGCAGCCACCGTAAGGCATCAGCGTCACCCAGCCGCGAGAGGGTCCGCGCAGTCAGCCAGACAACGTCGACAGTTTATCTCATTGATAACGACGCCTCACAGGATGCAGAGAACATTGGCTTCGGCCGACCAAAGACCGTGGATCGTGTTGCTAGTACACCTAGCGTCATGACCAAGGTCCGTGGCAGTAAGCGTGCCGGATCCGAGTCTCCCTTGCGAGCCAAGGACTCTGCTGGAATCCGAAAGACGAGCGGCCGTGTTGGCAGCTCCAGTATGTCTGTGTCGGCCTCAGCTATGTCCACGGCACGTAAAGTCTCCGGGTCGTCATAGGAGATTGGCCTAGCCCAACGGATTCAGCACCGGTGATTTGAGTACATTTTCAAATACCCACGGAGAAGCCATGAAATTTTTTTTGTGTTTCTACTTTTTTTATATTAACGATGATGACAAAGTTACGTCCATTTTGACGAGCGATTCGTTTCAACATTCTGCATACATGCATGTCTTTAGGCGTTCCTACGAAGAGGGAGAGGGAGGAAAAACAAGCATATCTCATTCAGTGAGCTTTGTATGTGTCTACAAAGCTCGAATTCTTCTTGAAAAGGAAGAGGATTGGACTCTCGAGGCCGACAAGTAGACCTTTATGAAAAGAGCGGATGCCAATCAGGTGGGGATAGAGGGTGAGGACAAGGGGAAAGTCAAGCTATAGTGGCCAATTGCGAAAGTTTGAAGACGAGGTATTCCACGGTCATGGCATTTATTGTGTTATTGAGCTGCGATGGCGCTACAGGAGGGACGGCGCGGATGTTTTTCTTTTTGTTTTGTTTTGTTTTGCCTTTTGGCCCTGTTGGTTTTATGATTGCTTGGTATTGTTTTCTTCCTTTTTTCCCTCAAAGATCCTCTTCTCTGGGCTTGCTCGATTTGTGTCTACTTCGGTTTCTTGTTTTATTCAATCATTGGGTAGTTGGTAGGTTTGTTCAAGGGAGAAGGGGGGACTGTGGAATGACGAGGTATGGAGCGAGTTGTGCATATATATATCAGACGGCATGGATTTTATTGTTTCAATTATGATGTTGAAGCTGCTGGCTAAATGTTTGTGTGATATGTGTGAATGTACGGGTTTGAGTGATGGGCAGGTAGACGGAATGGCTGTCTGCCATTCAACACATGAGCCAGCAAGGGCACGTATATCAAATTGTTGAATTATTTCGAGAAAAAATCAAAAAAAGGGGCTAGATGGAGGGCATCTAGTAACACTCTATTTTGGCCGTACCTAGTCCAGGGAACCGTAACTAACCACGCAAGACACCATGAGTACACGCATCGCGATGCGTCACACACACTAGCCAAGGGCACGTATATATGGATGGTTGTAGACTGACTGCTAGTTAAAGGGAGCTTGACGACGAGACAACCACCCGCCTCAACTCAACGACATGTTCAAGGGATGACGGATGGCCCGCCAAGTAGCTTTCTTTCTTTCTTTTCTTTTCTTTCTTTTCTTTTGGCGCAAGGCTGCTCGAACGATTGACTGACTGGCTGGCTGGCTGCCTTTACGTCAATTGCTCGGGGCGCTCATCCATTTTACTCGGGGCGCTGACGCCCCAATTTTTCTGCGGTCAACCCCGCTGCCAGACCCCATAGTACATTCTCAGTAAAAATGCATGGCAGTTTTACTCAACACTAAAAAGCTCTATTAAAAATTAACGGGTTTTTTAATAAAGCTGCAGCCGTATGAATTTTTCAGCGGGCAGCAGCGTTTTTCCTGCTTTAACACCACCTCGGCCTGAAAGTGTACAGCGGCTTAAAAAAAATCATGAAAATTACACAAGCACCTTATCATTTAATTAAGGGCATTTACTGCCATGCATTTGAACTGAAAATGTACATTGGGGTCTGGCATCTGGGCCGCTAGACCAAAATTAGGGCGTGGTGGGGTATTGAGCGCCCCGAGTAACGCGGATGCTCTCCAGCGTGGACACGACCGTCTCCATGATGTCGGCGGCCTCGCGGCTCGACACATGCTCCCCTACGCGCAGGCACATGTCGACCGTGTCCCTGTAGCGCTTGCCGACCTTGTCCCTCCACCGCTCGGGCGACTAGTGCGGCTTGTGGTACGTCTGGAGGACCTTGCGCAGGCCGATCTCGAGGAGCACCAGGCCCAGCGAGTAGACGTCAAAGGCCTTGCAGTAGCCCATGCCGCGCAGCGAGGCCGGGTGGCGGTGGAGGTCCTCGATGGACGGGTTCCGGGCCACCACGGACAGCGCCGTGTCCATGTCTGGCCGCGAGGCGTCGAACCCCGTCAACCCCGTCAGATAGGGGCTCGAGATGTCCGGCACGAGGGCGGCCGGGGAGAAGAAGAAGGCAACGCTGGAGCTGCAGATTGACTTGTGCAGCTAGTCCAGCGAGGCGCACGCGGTCGTCCATGCGGCGGACCAGGGCGACCCATTCCACCACCACGTCGCCTGCTGTGTCGTGGCGGGCTTGTCTCCGTTTCTGGCTGTTTGCTGCCGGTGAGCGTGGGCCGTCGTCGTCGTCGTCGTCTTCGTCGTCTGGCAGCGCCAGCGCGGCAAACGGCACCTTGAGCGCAAACGGGGGCTTGAATGCTGCCCGCGGCTTGCTGTCGAGGTTGATGCGGAGAGACTTGAGCTTTGCCGAGGCCCGGAGCTGCGGGTGCGTGTCCAGGAGAGACTGCTGCGTAAGGTCTCGCTCGGCAGGTGTCCATGTCCGTTGGAAGGAGGGGCAGCTGTGATGCTGGGAAGAGGCGCTCGAGGCCGTCGTTGAAGTCTGCATCTTGTCGGCCATCTGACATGCGGCATGGGTCGAGGAAGAATGAGAGCGAATGTGTTTTATGTGTGTCGAGTAACAGAGACACAGAGAGAGACAAGATATCAAGCAGTACCTTTCAGATCCCTGCAAATTCGCAAACTTGTCCGTAAAACACCACGCATCACCATCGCCGCCCAACAAAACACACAAGGCAATCCCATGAAACCCAGGCAACTCGCCCGCAATAACCCACTTGGTCCCCAAACTCCATTCCCGTCTCCAGCTCCCCTCCGCCTTGGACGTTTTGCCCTCATCCCTAGACGATTCCTTCCTCCCAGCCCTGGCCTCAACCGCACGCCCGTGTCCGAGTCCGTGTCCATGTCCGGCCCCGTTCATTCTCCTCTCTAAGCCCATACCGCTCCTGAAGCTTCCCGAAATGAGTCACGGTCCCATGCAGCTCTTGCAGTATCTGCGTCGCCTGCTCTCGCAGCCGTCAAAGAGCTGGCCCATGAAGACCACCACGCCAATAGTGGTGCCGATGAGCTCGGCCGCCATGGGTGGGAAAGGTGAACATGTATTCCTGTCAATGGAGAGTCCCTGGAGGAGATTGCGAGGCGGAAACCAGCAGTTCCCAACGCCCTCTCTGACAGGGGCTTTTTTTTTTGGTACGCGTGTGTATGCGTATAGTGTCAAGTAGCAACTCGGCCGAGCTGTCTGAAATTATTAGTCCAAAACCCAACCCCACCAGCCTGCTCCCCTGCACAAGCAGAATTGCCACTGTGAACCGCCAGCTCGAGACATATTCCCAATGTATAGGTCCCTCCTCACTTGTCCAGTCGCGGCAGAGCATGTCGCTCACACGTTGTGGTCAGCAAAGGTGGCTCGCCTGAGAGAAAGAGCAGGAGGCATCGTGAGGAGCATTGTACGGACACCCACCGCCTCTGACCCGCCTATACCAAATGACGCATCACGTCGTCATGTCATCTCTTGCTGATCCGCATCGTGTCCTGACGGCATTTTTGAACGGATGAAGAATGCGCCAACCGATCCGACTGTTAATGCCAAGGCTCGGCCCGCCTCGGCCAACGGAGCCGCACATGTATGTATCAAGATGGAGAGAGCCTTCTCAGCCAACCACCGACGCAGTAGCCATAAATTCAACAGACTAGGAGCATTCTTTAAAACGTAAATCAGATTGATATTGTGCTTCAGCATGTGTACCTCCTACATCACTGTCCATACTTCTCTCTATATACTGCAAACAGCTGAGCATATTTCATGACAGCCATGCTCGTGGTGGTGACCACGAGGAACTTTTTTTTTAATGCAGTGTCCTTGAAACCAACAAAGCGCCTCGTAAAAAAAAAGCTGTCCCGTAGCAGGAAAAAGCTAATCGTCAAACATGAGAGCCGCGGGGTTTATTTTCATCCATGGCGGCCCACTTCCCGAGACCCGTGAGATCCGTCAGATCCGTGAGACCCATGTGCCATCTAGGTCGCCTAGTAGACCTTCTTCTTCTCATCAATACTGAACTGACCAGGGCCACTGTTGACCAGCAGGAGCAGACCACCGACGATCGAGAGGATCTGGAAAAAATCGTACTTGGCAAAGTCCTTGTGTGGGTGGTGCTCGTGGAGCTAGTACTGTATGTTAGCTGTGGCGGCTCGGCGAAGAGACAAGTCTAGCGCACTAGATAGAAAAAAGGAAACGAAAAGGAAAAGAAACTTACGGTCCAGAAGTTGTTGACAAACAGGTTAAAGATGCTCAGAATAACAACGAGAAGCGTGGCGCTAAACTTGGCCTTGAAACCGACAACCACCATGATACAAGCGCCGGCTCCGAGGAGAGACACCAGAACGCGCCAAATGGACCATTGGCCAGTAAAGACAAATCCAATAAAGAGGAAGATGAGTAGAACACGACCGGCTAGCTGGAAGTACATCTTGCGGTCCTTCTCGTCGAGGGTGGGCAGTCCGGCGAAAGCCTTGGTCTTGCGCACCCACGAGTCGGAAAGGACCATGAGAAGGCCACCAATGACCGACAGGTTTCGAAGGAAGAAGTTGAGATCGAAGATCAAGCCATAGCCGAGAGCTTGGGTGATAACGACGCCCATGAGACCGGCGACGGCGAAGTCAGATTGCTTTCGGGCGATGATGAGGGTGGAGCATGCGACCATGGCGACGACGTTGGCGAGAAGGAAAACATGGGTGATACCATTGGGAACTGCGACTTTGTTAGATGGCTTTTGCACAGGCTGGTACGCCTCCACCGAGGCCAATTGTTTTTTTTTTTCTGTTCGCCTGCGGCTTATTACTGCATGTACTTACTATGTCGGTAGTCGTGAAGGTACAAAAGCTGGTCGCTCCACTGCATGATGATACGAAGGGCATCTTCCAGGAAAGTGACGACAATCAGGAAGCGGCCAATGGCGGGTAGGTACCTGTATTAGAACAAGCGCTCCGGGTTAGCAATTGTCACGGTAGACGATCGAGGGAGTTGTAGCTATTTGGGGCAGATGGGAACCAAGTGGCCACGTACGGCTTGATGGGCTCGCTCAGGGTGTCGAGCATATCCTCAACCTTGCTAGTGTAGGGGCGAATCTGGTCGAGAATGTTGCCATTGGATTCCTCGGCGTTGGAAGGGCCGCCGTACTGCGGAGGGCCGCTGAGGCCATATCCAGAGGGACCGCGCTGCATGACGAAAGAGCTGCTGTGCTGGGGACAGTTGCTTGGGATGAAGGGAAGGTCGGCGGGCGCCTGCGGAAGCTGTGTGGATTCTACCAGTCGTAACGTTCGATGCGGAAGCTTGCGACAGTTGCAGACGAGGCCTGCTGACGATCAAGGTGTCCGCGAAGGGAGTTTCGGATTAGACGAGATGGAGGAGGTTGGATTTGGAAGAAGCGACAGACGTGGTTGTGGCGTGGAGTGATGGACCGAGGAGGTTGACTTGTCCAAGTGGAAGAAGAAGTAAGTGGTCGCGCCGGTAGAGAGCAGAGACGGAAGGGAGCAGAGAAGAGTTGGATAGCAGGATGAGCAAAGAGCAAAGAGCACGAAGCACAGGGCTGCAAAGGCTTCAATTCAAACAAAGGAAGGCGATGCACCACGATGGCAGGTGAGTTGGATTGGGTCGGGGTGTTGAAGTGTTGAAGGAAACTCTGTCAACATGTCCAGGAGGGGTTGGGAATTGGCAAAAAATGCACATGTGTCCAGAGCCCGGGTTGAGGCCGTCTAGACCAGACGGATAGACTCGACCGGTCGATCTGACCACAACCACAAGCCCACCACAAGTCCACCACCACGTCGGCGACGGCGCGACCATGACAAGGTGCCGTTCCCAATTAGGGCAGGACGAGCTATGACTTCAGACCCTGGACCGGCGCGCCCAGGCTACATAACTTACAACTGTGTCCTTTAGCCAAGTTATGCCGGGGTGTCCGCTTCTGGCTCTAGTGGCTCTGGTGGCTCTAGCCGTAACTTACTGCCCGCCCACTCTGCCAGGCGTCCCTTCCTTGCGTCTTCCGCGTGGGCAAGCGTGTCGAGTCAATCTGTATTTGAGATTGAGTTTGATATCAAGAAGCTCAAGTCGATTGTAGCACCAACGAGCAGTGACCGACCATGGAGACTGTACCTACTGCCTAGTGGGACGAAAACCCCTTGCCAACCAGCTACCGCCACTTTCAACGCCGAGGCTTTGCAACTTCTTTGTTTCTGCCATTGCAGGTTCCTGACAAGTCCGAGAGACCCGCACGCACTCGCCCACCGTGAGCTGATTGATGTACGATACCCACGCATCTGCAGATGGTCCGTGGAGTCATGGACAAGCGGACATACAAAAGAACAATCGAAACTCGGTTCCTGGTAGCATCATCACGTCCATGGCTTTCATCTACACAATAAATTCGACACTTTCCTATGGCTCCATTGTCCTCTAAACTTGCTTTTCACGACGCGCTTTCCACAATGTCTGACTCTAATAAGACGCTCCGCCCCGAGCACGCGGCTCCTCGTCCAAGGGAGGACGACGACGTCTTAGCCAGTGAGGCCTGCGTGTCCTCATTCTCGGCGTCTCGGTCTTCGTGTTTTGCTCCTTGTCCCAAGCTCCCAATCATGCCCACCTGGAATCACTTGGACAGTGTCCTGCACCTTCTGTTGGCGCGCACCAGCCACAGCTGTATCAATCACCTGTTCAACCCGTCGAGATTGCAGCCGCCTGTTTGACCTGTCTTGTGCCTTACTTGCCTGTCAAAACTCTTGACTAACGCAGAATGCTCCGAGCAAGCTTAGAGAACGCCTGTTATCAAATCGTTCAATCCTAAAATCCAAGTACCCGCCTCCCTTCCTAGGTCGCAGACATGTACTCTATTTTTTGCATCGCGGAATACTCGGTACGAGTCCAATACTCGAGTATTCCCCACCAACTAGCCCTTCCGCAATGCCTTTCAGCAAGTCCTTTTAATGTACCCTACAGAATACCCAAGTATAGACGGATTCGAACAGAAACGCATAATAAATAAGTGGGTGTTCTAGAAGCATTTCGCATTTGCTGGTTGCTCGAACACCTGTTCTTGGTTATTATCCAGAGGCTATGCGACACCAAAACGTTCCCATGGCATTCTCCATATTATTCACACCCCTCTGCCCATTTATCGCCTCGCCGTTGACAGAATCCGTAACCCTCCTGCATTATCATACTCGACTCTTCCTTCATTGACAGCTGCTTCCAGTTCCGGCCGCAGCACTTGCCGTTCTCCCGTTTCTGGATTCCATTCCCAACCTTCCCGCATCCACATCCATCGTAGATATGCTCGAAGTTCTTTATCGTGTGGCAGAACCCTCATCCATTCGGGTTGAAATTCTGGCGGCTGCCCTTTGCCATTCCAATCCTGGGCTCTCCCGAGTAGCTCGTCTCGGCAGAATATCCTCCAGCTATCCAGCGTATACTTTCCTTGGGTCATATGCCCAATCTCCCAGGCCATTGCATTTGCTTCTTCATCGTAATCACCTGGGCTCAAGCACTTTAAATCGTCATTGGTGTCCAGGCTCTCCGTGCTCATGGCAAATGGTAAAAAGTCTCTCCTTTCGTAGTTTCTGACTTTGTATTGCTTCCCGGGTGCCGGTGGGTTGCTAATAAAGGCCTCGGCGTATGTTTGAATGAAAGCAAGTCGATTAGCAGCTAAGCCTAGGTGACGTATCATGTTGAAGAGTTCCTCGGCATTGTTGGGATCTCGCAGTTCTGTAGGTGAAGGAAACCTTTCCTTCACTTTGTAGAAGACGGGTATAGCTGCCCGGCCGCTTGTCTTGATTAAAAAAGTTACCGCTATTAATAACCAGAATGGCTCATGCGCCAGCCTCTCCTGAATCAGCCCGAATTGAGACGCTGAAAGTGGTGGGAAGGGGACACTCGACACGACACCTGCCGGAGGGCGATGGGGCGACTTTTTCTCTCGAGTTTTCCGTGGGAAGAATGGAGAAATTTGAGCTGTGGGACAGAGAGAAACATTACTGCCTATGGCTGACTGACATTGTGGATAGACGGATTCGACGTTTTGCGGTTGGGATGTGGTGGCAGTGCTTGATGACCTGGTACCCTTTTTGTCCCTGAGTTGTATGTCTTGTCTAACATTGGCCACAGCTGTTTGTAAAGTCCCTTTTGTGAGACTAGGCTGTCGTGGGTAGCTATCCGAAAGCGCTATCCTGCCATTTGACGTTTTGTTTTGCGTTCTTGTCTCGGTAGACCAATAATGAGAGGTAGTACTTTGACTGACCGATTTGACTTGCCGACGAGCCGGTCTGGTTGGACTCACATAGCTTGCTATTTGACGAGCACTTGGGCCTCGAATATCGGGGTCTTTGGCGAGCTCTTTGGCAAGAAGTATCAGTCGGTCCGTCTCCGCCCAGGGCTTTTCTTCTAGGTAGGGAACAGTGGGCTCGCTGGTAAGGACACGCCATACAAATGATAGCACATCGTTACCGCTTAAGTTTTCACAGGGTAGATGCTTGGATTGTTGTATAGACCTCGCACATTCAATCAGGTAATGAAAGTCATCTGAATTGGCCAGGATACTCGTGTCCACCAATTGCCTCGTTTCGTGTGCAGGTGTATCCGGTGATTCGATTAGCTGCGAAAGAAATTCCCTTCCATCTTCCCAGAAATCGAAAGTTGACAAAACGGAAGCTCCGAAAGAGGTTGACATCTGATATCGCTGAATTGAGAATCGGGAAAATGCAAGTACAGCTGGAAAACAGAAAGAAGGACCGGCTATGCAACGACAGAATGCACAAATCCATAAAGATCAACAGGACTGTTGGCTGAACTTCTAATCGGGGGGACAATTCACTGTCGGGACGATTGATAAAGAATGGCCTTGAATCTGTCTGGTTCGTCGGCATCAACTGAGCGAGCCGTGAACAAGAAGTTTGGTCGTACCGTACAAGTAGCATTCATACAGGCTTATAAACACTGTGCTTCTCCTGGGAAATGCATGGAAGTAAATTGCCTCTCCTGTGTCGAGGACTGTGCGCCCCATATTTACGACACACTGTCATAGTTCACCAGCTGGTAAAGTGGGACAGTGCCTGGGTGCCTAGGCCTGGGTAACTACAGTCGGTCCCAGTAATTCCGAAAAAAAAAATCCACTTAAAAAATAAACTTATACTTTTTAAAAATTTATATTAAATAATATATAAGAGTAAAATAAATAATAAAATTATTCT